ACAAATGAGAGGTAACCTATTCTCCATGACCATTCTTGTACCACAAAGTAGAAAAATCTGACCATTGTCATACCTCAAAAGTCATATTTTGGGATCATTCTCATTCCAGATCCTAAAATTTGGATCCATTGCCATACCAAATGCTAAAAGAGGTACCCCCGTCAAGGTTTATATACAGTGAACCCCCCCGGTGTAAAATATAGCTTTTGACTTTTAGAAAGTAGCCCAGTGATGTCCCTTATTCCTAGCTTGTTCAGAAATTCTTGTTGGTCTGTTTGGCAGACATTTAAATTTCAGCCAAAGATATATAAGCTGTATCGCTTTTGAACTAAGTACTGTACAGATACGAATGACCACATATCCCCATATCATTTTAGGATAGGCAATGAACTGAAATGGGTACCCACAGTATTTAGTTGTTAAAGCTATATAATTAACTCAATATGTATTAAGCCTGTACCTCAGTCCAATGTTTTATCCAAGACATCCGACTGGACTCTCAACTGACCTCTTCCAAAAACTCAGTGCTGATGTCAAAACACAGTAGGACCATCATCTTCAATGAGCTCCCGGTACCTTCAGAAGACCAACTAAAATATCTCATCAGCTTAAAAATCCAAGACCTATTTGATGAGGCTAAGACAAGAGGGTGGTATGCAGTTATGCAACCAATAGAAGTGGGATGCAGAGCCCAGCCTCTTCACTATGCTACCTTTTATCCAAGTTAGAACGATTTCCATCCCAGATGCGAGGACAAGGAGTGGAGGAAACATCTGTGAAACACCATTGTGTTGGGCCAATTAGAAGACAAAAGCTTCTCTTGGGAAGGAGAGATGAAGCCCGCAGTGTTAGTGGACGGCTTCATCACTGGCAAGAGAGCTCCAACAGATGCTTCTTAAGAGATTACTTCAACTTAGTCATCCAAAGATTCTTCTTCCCAAGATAGAAACACTCAGGAAAAGAGAAGCATAGGACCAGGAAGACATTCTTTAAAAATCTCTATAGGCTCACATCAAATTTGTTAGGGAACCAAAGAGTGCCCATATGCAGGATCAATCAGAAGCAAATACTTTGGCAGCACACAGTGACCCAGATCGAGAGATGCCATTGGGTAATTTTCCAATTGACATCCCACCAGATTTATCATCAAAACCGTTTGACCAGTCAGATTTCAAGCTTGATGAGGTAAGAACAATCATCAGGAAGGCTCAGCCTCAGGTCTAACAGGTGTGACATACAGGGTCTACAAGAACTGCCGAAAGCTGTTAATACATCTATGGCGATTGCTAACAAGCATCCAGAACAAAAAAAATCTAGCAAGGAATTGGACTTTGGCGGAAAGGTGCTTCATTCCAAAGGAGCTAAAATTTGAGCGACTGAACCAGTTCAGGTAGACATCATTATTGGCAAGCATCCAGAACAAAAAAAATCTAGCAAGGAATTGGACTTTGGCGGAAAGGTGCTTCATGCCAAAGGAGCTAAAATTTGAGCGACTGAACCAGTTCAGGTAGACATCATTATTGGATGCTGAGGGAAAGATCTTCTGGGCCATTATGGTCAAGCCTCGAAGTTGTTTCCTAGTTACCTGCCAAGCATTCGGAAAAGTGGTCTCCCAAGACATCATGGGGTACATATAGCAGCATAAGCCAACTTGTGAAGGAAGCCAAGAAAGAGAATCAGTAGTTTGGCTGGACAGAAGGCCTACCTAGTGTCCCTCACCAACTGATACTAGAGGTACAAGTTCACTTTCACGTACCAAAACCAACAGATGTAGTCAATCTGACAATGGGAAACACAAACTCCTTGAAGTTGCACAATACATTTTGCAATTATACCACTAATTAGCAGAGTTCGGAGAAAGGCATAGTGGCAGACTGCCCTGTATCAGTAGTTCTCTTCGTAACATCCATGAACGTACTGCTAAATGCAGGGATGATGCAGTGTAAGGTTCCACAAGCAAATGAAGGTGCAAAACACCTATCATACAGAGCTTTCATGGATGACATCACAGTTATGACCAGTTCAGTAGTGAGTACCAGATGGGTTCTATTAGCTATGTAAAGAATGGCAAACTGGACTTGCATGAAGTTAAAAGCCTACCAGATCAAGAAGCATGTTTTTGGTTGATGGCAAGCTTTCTCCAATGCAGTTCAAAATAAAGGGCAAGCAAATAGCAACAGTGCATGATAAAAGAATCAAATGTCTAGAGAAGATCTATGACAAAACCTTGTGTGGTTTGAACAATACAGCTGAAGTCTCAAGGGACCTGGACAAGTGGCTTAAAGCCATTGACTCAAGTCATGTATCGGGGCGTTATGCCATTACTCCCCAATTTCAGTGGCCTTTCCAGATTTACGACATTACCTGGGAACCCTCACTTCAGCAATTCTTGAAATGGAATGACCTTTGGTCCATGGACCGAGGGGAGTTCAATTTCCTATTAAGAGCTTTCCTTGACCTGGTCTCAACTCCATCAAACCTCAGACTTTGGGGCAAGGAAGAAACTGCCAACTGCCCCAAGTGCATGGCAACTGAATGACACGTACATTAAATCATATACTCAGTATTTGGGTTACAGCTCCCACTGATGGACAATACAGATGGCATCATGATTGAGACTGAGGATGCCCATACTTTGATCTGGGCCTATCTTCAATATCTATCTTGCGTTTCTTTGATCTGGGCATTATTAACCACTACCACTTCTAACATGTCTCATCAGATTGACTTTTGCATATGTGACAATAAAATAGCCTGTCATATTGTGCTGTCATATTCGAGTTACACTATCATAATAAACACATCATGTACTCGTAAGCGGTGCACACAAGCTGCAAAATTTGGCCAACATTTCACCAATGAGCAACATTGAGCTCTATCTACATGACGCTGCCAGAGCAGCTTCAGCCTTTGAAGTTGACATTAGTGTTTAGAAGTTAACATTTTGAACAAGAAGTGCCCCCCCCCCTTTTCAGTTACATAATCGTGTGAAGTGTCAACACTTAATTTCTTATAGTTTTTCCAAAATTTCGATTGCAAATATGTTCAAAATTAATGTACCTATATATTCAAAATCATAAATGCTCATGAATAACCAAGACTTTAACCCAGAGGGAGAGATATTGGTCGTTACCATTGAAAAAAGCCAAAAATGATAGAGGTTGTCACATATTATGCAAATGGGAAAGTTTGCATGATTATTGCATTTTTTATAAGTATATTATAATACAGGTAGCTCCATTTTGGTACCACTTACAGCTTTCAATTCTCAAAACTGTGGAAGTTATTGTACTTTCAAATGATTAACATCAACTCTTTCTCAAGAAATGCCACGCCTCTTTTCAGTAACATAATCATGTGAAGTGTTATAACTTAGTGTCTGACAATGTTTTTTTCCAAAATAAATATGTTCAAAATTAATGTACCTATATATTCAAATTCATTTATGTTCATGGATGACTAAGACTGGTCACTCGGGCAGCAAGGTATTGTGCGATACCGTTGTAAAGAGGCAAACATTACGATTAATGATGTCACATTTTGTGCAAATGAGACTATTTGCATAATTATTAATCTCATAATATTGGATACTATAATAGCTTCATTTTGGTACCACTTACAGCTTTCAATTCTCAAAACTGTGGAAGTTATTGTACTTTGAAATGATTAACATCAATTCTTTCGCAAGAAGTGCCACGCCCCTTTTCAGTTACATAATCATGTGTCTGACAATGTTTTTCCAAAACTTTCAATTGTAAATATGTTCAAAATTAATGTACCTATATATTTAAATTCATTTATGTTCATGAATGACTAAGACTGATCACTCAGGCGGAAAGGAATAATGCGATACCGTTGTAAAGAGGCAAGAATTATGATTGATGATGTCACATTTTATGCAAATGAGGCAATTTGCATAATTATTGCATCTGATAATATAGGATACTATAATAGCTTCATTTTGGTACCACATACAGCTTTCAATTCTCAAAACTGTGGAAGTTATTGTACTTTGAGATAATTAACATCAACTCTTTCAAAAATTCAAGATGGCCGACAAGATGGCCGCCAATGGATACCATGGGACAATATTACATTCTGGGAACATGCAAAAATCTTTAGTATGGACCTTTAGGATTACAAAAATGTACATTAAAAAAATACATCTTTCGGGTGCATGGGAACCCCTCCTTCCTACCCGTCTAGATAGGGTCCTAAACAATGGTCTTTTGGACAGACCTTACTAATACTATGTCAATACCAGAAGTTGTGAATGTTTGTCTCCCCAACTTTTTGTAGACGGTGTTCAAATTCAATGTCCATAACAATTTGCAGTAACATACAAGGTGGTGACATTTCATCATGTTAATGCCTTGTTCAGAAATTGTGTCACCCTGTAGCAAAAATGACAAAAACCTCCATGTTCCAAAAATTAAGTAAAAATTATCCATTGTCATATATATTTAATCTCTTCAATATGACACAAAACATGATATATCTTCATAAAAAATGTGTTTTATTAACAGCTGCTGATTGATAATAATGTCATAATATAAATCCAATGCTTTCAATAATTACGAGCTTTTAAAGTCCTTTTCAATAAACTATATCATATTTTTAGATACACGTTTATACCTAGTACATTGAATATTGGCCAGGTTCATAGTGTCGGGTTCCAGGAAACCACTAACCATGCTTACTAATAAAATTTTAAGAAGTTTTCCAAAATTAGCATTCTACTATCTATCTCACTCCAACCTATGACATCATGGAACTAGCCAACATACTGTATAAGTGTTTTTTAATCCGAGTGTTTAATTTGATGAATGGTCAAATTTTTTCATTTCCCTCATTTTAATTTACCTAATGACAAGAAACTTCCCATTGGATAACATTATGAAAATAATATTTCCAACGTTTAATTTTCCGAATGTGGTAAAAATCAGGCAAGAGGCAAATTAAATGATTAGGCAAAATTACCACTTATACAGTATTTTGGTAGTTCCACAATAATACATTGTTTTTTTTCTTCTGTGATATTTCTGATCCAAGTTCATTGATATTTCTCATGATTGAATCTGTGAACTTCTTTTTTAAATGTCTCTGACAAATCCTCAACATTGAACCAATTTGATCGTTCACCTAATCCAATATTATATCTAACACAGGTGAGGATTATGTCCAACACAGTTTAAGATTATGTCCAACAAAGTTGAGGATTATATCTACCATAGTTGAGGATTATATCCAACATAGTTGAGTTGAGGACTATCCAACACAGTTGAAGATTATGTCCATGACAGTTGAAAATTATGTCCAACATAGTTGAGGATTATTAACAACACAGTTGAAGATTATGTCCAACATAGTTGAAGATTTTGTCCAACACAGTTGAGGATTATGTTCAACACAGTTGAAGATTATTTCCAAAACTGCTGAGGAATATTTTCAACAGTTGAGGATTATATCCAAAACAAACCCAGTTGAAAGTCATATATTAGGAAATTGTTAATTAAGAACACTGCATATTTCCAAAAGAATGTGAGATGCAGTGATGCAAAATGCTATAAATGGTTCCCCATATATCATGGTTTCCAGGAACATTTTTAATTTTATCTTATCTTTTACTTTGTGCAAGTAGTATATCATGAAAATAAAGAAAAAAATTATTTACTCTTGACAAAGAGCTTACATAAATTATAATTTCTTAAAAGATTATGCACATCTTATGCTTGTATACAGCTTATATAAGTTGCTGCCCTTCCCACAGCAGAACAATGCAGCCTACAAATTGTATACCCAAACATTGGGTGAAACTTGAATAAATAAATTGAAATTAAATGTTCAGTCCACTTCTAAACTAGCCCGGCTAGTTGTTGCTATGGCACCAGTTTGTTGTGTCTGGTGCTTGATTTGTTGGCATAAAATCTTCTGTAAAGTCATAATCTCTGGTTTAAAAAGTGTCTTATTAGAGACATTAGCAAGTGCGAATGCTTCTGTTGCTTTGTTACTGTAGCTAATCATTGTGCTGATACTGGCAATATTCCTTACGCCCTGGAACATGGAGAACATACAATTGCATGTTTACAGTATTTTTGCAGCAAATTAACTTTCTAATTTGAGTAAGGTAGAGCTAATATCCAAAATAAAGGAATTTATCTTCAATATGGCCTGTGATTCACATTTTGCTTTTAGAGTTTGTTTTTTTAAATTTCAATTTTTGTATACGTTTTTTAGACGATGAGAGACTTTATTGTATATGTACCTGGTAAATTGATTTCTGAAGGTCCTGTGTGTCATACAAAGCTATCAAATAATCCTCAGTGACCTCCCAGTCCTGAAAGCAATGCAACACATACATACATTCATACATATATTGTAGTACAATTTATTTTTGCCTTCATAATCCCATAATAAAGAAAATCATTCAAATGTTATAAAAAGTTTATTTTCTAGCTTTGAAGTTCACACAAGTTGAACATTGCCTGAGTTTATGAAGCCCATGTTAGTGAAATATTTCAACCCATCTTTTAGCATGCACATGTTAAGACTACAAGGTGTCAATTGTAAGTAAAGAAGTCAATACCATTGCTAGATTCTCTGCCACAAAGAACAACTCAGTGAGGGCACGTACAACTGGTGACGTCACTGTGCCCATATCTGAGGAAGTCTCACTACACTTCTTGTACAGCAACCATAAAGGTTTCAGCTCTCCAAGGTCAATGCAGAGTTTGCTGGCCCCACTAGACCTACAACAAAGCAGAGAATATTCAGGGAGATCTACTTAGAAATGGGATATTAGATAAAATCAGATATACAAAGTCTAAAACAATAAATTGTACATAAACTGAAAAAATTCATATCCCTGATTGACACCACTTTATGTTGCTTTTTTCTTTTGTTGAATTGGCCTTTTAGGAATTTCAATAATAAAAAATATACATTGAATACATGTTATTGGGAGAAGTTGATGGAAGTTGTGTTTTAGAGAATGTTTTTAACAGGTGTCACCATTGGGTTGAATGTGCAATTGGAAGTCAATATAATTTTTTTAACTGAACTTGGGAATGATTTTCCACAAACAGCCTCAACATTTTTAGTTCTTTAAACAATCGGCCTCCTAGCTTGTTTTAAAGAACACAGAGATTCAACAATCTGACATACTTAAACTGCGTCTCCAGAATCTGAAGAAGCAGCTGAATAGTCTTGAGCCTATGTTGTCCTGTCTGCTTACATGCCACATACACCAAACTACTCCACAGCTCATCAGTATGTAACAACCTACAAACAAATTACAGTACTTAATTTCAAAATCCACGACTCTTATGTCTACCCTTTGCATTCGTTTGACTTCACTTCTTAAAAGAGAGCTTCGTCTTCTGTAGTTTAACTAGACTCTGCACGCAGGGTACTTATGTCACATCTACATTAAATTCTTCAAAAAAATAAATATGTTTAATAACATAATTGTAAAATTCAATCTTGCCTCGAGTTACTAGATGATGAGAGTAGAGCATTGAGGAGCATATATCCTGTGTCAAACCTGCCCACACATCCCCCTGTTACAGTGAACCTGTAGCCCCAGTCAGTGTTACTGCAGTCTGTTTGGAATATATAGTGAAGAGTGTCACCTGAAACAAACAAGAGTCACCTGTTAACAATAAAGGATAAAAGGCTCTGAGGAGCAAACCTTATACAAGTAACTGTAATTTGTAATTCAAAGTTTCTTGCACAAATGGTAATTTAAAGTTTCTCACATACGACTGGTTATTCAAAGTTCCTCACAAAAACCAGGTAATTCAAAGTTTTTCACACATTCTCTGTATTCAAAGTTTCTCTCACACACATGGTAATTCAATATTTATCACACATAGATGGCAATCTAAAGTTTCTAACACATATCTGGTAATTCAGTTTCTCACACACCCTTGGTAATTCAAAGTTTCTCTCACACACCCTTGGTAATTCAAAGTTTCTAACACATATCTGGTAATTCAGTTTCTCACACACCCTTGGTAATTCAAAGTTTCTCACACATCCTTGGTTATTCAAAGTTTCTCACACACCCTTGGTAATTCAAAGTTTCTCACACAGACCTAGTAATTCAGTTTTTACAGAATCCTGGTAATTCAAAGTTTCTTACACATAACTGGAAAAAGTTTCTCACACATACCTGGTAATTCTAAGTTAGTCCACCTGCAGCTACTTCCACTAAAGACGTGCCTATCTTGAGTGCTGTCCTTTGAGCTAGACATAGTCAATTCATCACAGCCACTCTCAGTAGAGCATCTATAATATGTATATACTAGGTAACATTTAGAACATATTGTCCCATGTACAATACTATAAGTTATTGAATGATTTGAAGTGCAATACAGGATATATTCTGCTCGAAAAATTCTGTAATGGAATGAGACGAAGTCGAGTGCCAATACAGAATATCGAGACAGAATATATCCTGTATTGCACTTCAAATCATTCAATAATGTTTGTATCGTGTGATCCTCTGTATTGCTACTGAGATTGTCCACTCCGTACCAATATTTTCTTTATTGCGATGGAGATGATCAACGGGGACAATCTCAGTAGCAATTCAGATTGGTACAGGACAAGAACTGACCAATGAAAGGGCTTCATTTTACAGATCATACGATAAACTGTAATATTTGTGAACAATGTGCCTCACATTTGATTATCTCAATATTACTAACCTGGAGTCAAATTTAATGCTAAGAAAAGAAGCTCCTGGAATCCTAATCGTTTCTTCAAACTTGAAATTGTTTTTATACTTGTGTTCCGATTCCTTGGTGATGGCAGCTAAGCTCACTTCCTCCATAAATTGGCAGGCTGTAGTTGCCATGACAACCAAACTATCAGGGTTGCTATGGTTAATCACATTTTGGACTACCTACATAAAAAATAATTTCACATTTAAAAGTGTTTAATTATAGACTTTCAATTTACCCAAAATGCAACAGCATTAAAACATTACGTATGTCCATCAGACCTATTTAGTATCTTTAGTAACACTTTTTCAGAATGAAATATTAGAATGCTGCCAAGGAAATGTTGTTTTAAGTATTTGGAGCAAAGATCAAAGTTCTTTATTTGAAAAGCATGGAAATGATTTTTTGTCACTATTAATAATAATGATTTAGAGTTGAATTGTAGTTAGTGTTCTGAAAAGCATTTGTCTAAAAGAGTGAATATACCTTTTGAAATATAGTTTTACTTTCCGTGTTGTTCAAGAGGTCTAGTACGCAAGGTATCTGGCTGACTGTGTGACAGCCTAGTATGTCTGCACTGATAGCTTGGCAGGTTTTAGGCCAGTCTGCCAATAGAGCTTGCAACACTTGTCTAGCATAGAGTATGGACATAGCCAGGTTAACCTATGGAAATACAGATACAATATAAAAATCCAGAATAGCTCATCTTTACAATTTGCACATTTAATATGCATTTATTCCAGTGATTAAAATGTGAAGATTGGAATGTCAAAGGAATGTTTCAAAGTTCTTAACATTCTTTGTCTCACTATGGGTGTTTTAGTAGTCTATATACAGTGGATTGGTCTCTAGAATGAGCATACAGGAGTGCAAGCGGCAGCCAATATACTGATGGATCACCGCAACTACCACAAAGCCTTTGCGTCATATTCACGATATATTATGACTCATCACATCTTTACAACTCTCAATAGATGTCCCTCCCTTCTGTTTTACAACTCACCTTGCTGAGGAACTCCCTGGAGGCAGATTTTCCATGTTTCTCAAGCTCTTTCTTCAGCAGATCTGCGCTCCTGCTTCTCTTCTGCTTTAACATGTCCCCAGCTATATCATTATCAGCTGTTTGAATCAGTCGTTGACTCTCCTCTGAAGGCTCCTCAACCGCTTTCTCTAAGTTCCTAAGCAACAGACACTTAACCATTGCATTTCCTTTCATATTAGACTAATTTCAATGATTATTGATACATTATGTATCCCAAAAACTTTTTTAACCACATCTTAGAGTGACATTTAAATAGATATATTTACCGTTTGCCCATGTTAATGAGAGTGTACTGCTGGATGCCCTGATCAATAATTTTGTCTCGCATATTCTCCTTCACAGGCTCTTTAATAGATTCTGCCCTACAATAATATGTATAGGTATCAAATGTATGTACGATTGTACGGTATAAACATATCACAACAGGCTTCATTTGTAATTTTTTGTGCCTGCTTGGACTGATTTGACTTCTCATTGATTGCTAAATTTTCGAAAACTATTTATCAAATGCTATATCATGTGCAGTATAATTAGCGTTGAAATCTCATTGAATTGTCTTGTTTTAAATAAGATTTTTAGGAAATCTGCATAATCAACTATTAAGAACTTATCCAATGCCCAATCTATGTATTACTTTCTACAAGATTAAATTTTGATTTTCAGAGTCATGGATTCAATTCCAGGTGATTTTCACATTTTCAGCAATTTCTTGGGCTTAATCCCCATTGACACAATATTGAAAAATATCAAAGGCTCACATAACCGGCATATTCTACGAGAGCATGTTGAAACAACATACACAAAAAGATATTTCCAATACAAACTTACCATTTCTTAGCAAGGTCCTTAACTTCTTCAGATGGGGAGAATGTATCTCCTTCAACCAAGCTGAAATAAAATAAAAAAAATGGTTCAGGGGCCTCACCAGGATTTAAAAATAGATGAGGCAAAATTAATTAGGTGAGGCAAAAAATGAGGCAATAAAATAAGGCAACAAAATACTCTCAGTCTCATCAGCCTTCATTTTTATGGTTTTAATTTAAATATCCAATAACCTGTCTAATGCCTGGCTATGACTTTAAATAAAAGTACTCTTTAACATACCCATGTACATAGGTGTCAAATAAATTAATTTTTAGAGTATCCTAATATGGTACAGTGAAACCTGTAAAGTGGAACACCTCTAGAAGTGGAACATCTCTGTTAGTGGAACACTTTTCAGTGTCCTAAGACCAATTGACTTAATGTTAAAAAACCTCTTTAAGTGGAACAGCTCCCAAGTGGAACACTTTTAGAGGTACCAAAGGTGTTCCACTTGGACAGGTTTACTGTATTACCATTCATGTATTGCACGTAGTACATCATTAGCGTTGCCATGTATCTCATAAAGAGCTCTCAACTCAGGATATGACACTGAACAATGTTCCAGCATTGCCTGAAAGTTAAACATACACAAATTCATCAAAATCAATGAAAGTTCTGTCTGTAATCAAGGCTTGTTAACACATATATAAAGAACCAAAAAAGTGAAATCACAAAATTCAACATTTCAAAACATGTTATAAGTGGTAAATCAATGCCTACACAAAATGTAAATAAACAATATTTGTACTTCTTGACAACTGAACTTTTGCATTTTTTGCAAAATTTATGACTGATAAGACAGGAAATATAACATGGACTGCTTTTTAAGTAAAAAATATTATGTGTAAGCAAACTGTACCTGGAAGCAGAGTCTATCTGTGTCATCCAGGCCTTCCCAATCACAGGTCAGTGGTTTGGGGGTGGGGCTAGGGGTGGCGGGACTGGAGGAGACCAGACTAGGGGGCTCATCATCATCAGCCCCTGGGAGACCTGCCTCATCTACTGCTGTGTCAGGACTATCATTCGACTCAGACTTCTCATGTGTGTAGAGCATCAGAGACAGAATCTGGAACATGCATGTTAATAAGAAGGGGTTAAATGGCGCAAATACAAAGATGTTATTCCTACTGTTGCAGTTATTTTGGGGGATTTTATTCTTCAGTACACTGGATAATGATTTCCAAAGAGAAATGGGACTAAACAATAGAATTAGAACACACGACAGTATTCTAAACCCCTTTATTGCAACTCACCTCCAAGTCCTTGAGAAGCCACTGTGAGCTAAAGCCAGTTCCTTGTCCTGCTAAATACACCAAGTTCTGAATGAACTGGCTGCTAAACACTTCCTCAGTGACACATCCCATAATGTCCCCAGAACCAAATGAGTTTAATAAGGCCTTCAATGCCAATGATAACACCCATAGGTTTTCAACATTTGTAGTCTCCTCTGAAAAATGGATATGTAATGAAACCACAATGACACGAGGGAAAATCTTAAAAGGAAAAATAGGAAAATTTTATAAGACTTGACGAAGAATCACGATTTCAAATAATTCTCAAGTTAAACCTAGAAGATGGAGAAAATAATCATATGTTGAAAGTACCAGTCAGTATTTCTTGAAAAAGGCTGTACATTTACTATATAAAAATATAAATGAAACACATACCTTTTTTAAGTTTGCTGATGATATCTTGAATTACAGCAATAAATGATGAAAGATGCTGCTGATCCAAGATATTCAAGTCATAAGTTACACAGTCGATGTATTCATCATTCAACTGAAATATTCAAGTCATTCAATATAAAGTCAATGTATTCATCATTCAACTGAAACATTCAAGTCATTCAATAAAATCAATATATTCATCTTTCAACTGAAATATTCAAGTCATTCTATATAAAGTTAATGTATTCATCATTCAACTGAAACATTCAAGTCATTCTATATAGAGTCAATGTATTCATCATTCAACTGAAACATTCAGGTCATTCAATGCAAAGTCAATGTATTCATCATTCAACTGAAACATTCAAGTCATTCTATATAGAGTCAATGTATTCATCATTCAACTGAAACATTCAGGTCATTCAATGCAAAGTCAATGTATTCATCATTCAACTGAAACATTCAAGTCATTCGATATAAACTCGATGTATTCCTCATTCAACTGAAACATTCAAGTCATTCAATATGGAGTCAATGTATTCATCATTCAACTGAAGTATTCAAGTCATTCAATATAAAGTCAATGTTTTCCTCATTCAACTGAAACATTCAAGTCATTCAATATGGAGTCAATGTATTCATCATTCAACTAAAATATTCAAGTCATTCAATATAAAGTCAATGTATTCATCATTCAACTGAAACATTCAAGTCATTCAATAAAATCAATGTATTCATCTTTCAACTGAAATATTCAAGTCATTCAATATAGAGTCAATGTTTTCATCATTCAACTGAAACATTCAAGTCATTCAATATAAAGTCAATGTATTCATCATTCATCTGAAACATTCAAGTCATTCAATATAGAGTCAATGTATTCATCATTCATCTGAAATATTCAAGTCATTCAATATAAAGTCAATGTTTTCATCATTCAACTGAAACATTCAAGTAATTCAATATAAAGTCAATGTTTTCATCATTCAACTGAAACATTCAAGTCATTCAATATAAAGTCAATGTATTCATCATTCAACTGAAACATTCAAGTCATTCAATATGGAGTCAATGTATTCATCATTCAACTGAAATATTCAAGTCATTCAATATAAAGTCAATGTATTCATCATTCAACTGAAACATTCAAGTCATTCAATAAAATCAATGTATTCATCTTTCAACTGAAATATTAAAGTCATTCAATATAGAGTCAATGTTTTCATCATTCAACTGAAACATTCAAGTCATTCAATATAAAGTCAATGTATTCATCATTCAACTGAAACATTCAAGTCATTCAATAAAATCAATGTATTCATCTTTCAACTGAAATATTCAAGTCATTCAATATAGAGTCAATGTTTTCATCATTCAACTGAAACATTCAAGTCATTCAATATAAAGTCAATGTATTCATCATTCATCTGAAACATTCAAGTCATTCAATATAGAGTCAATGTATTCATCATTCATCTGAAATATTCAAGTCATTCAATATAAAGTCAATGTTTTCATCATTCAACTGAAACATTCAAGTCATTCAATATAAAGTCAATGTTTTCATCATTCAACTGAAACATTCAAGTCATTCAATATAAAGTCAATGTATTCATCATTCATCTGAAATATTCAAGTCATTCTATATAAAGTTAATGTATTCCTCATTCAACTGAAACATTCAAGTCATTCAATATAAAGTCAATGTATTCATCATTCAATCGAAATATTCAAGATTTTTCAATGTAAAGTAGATGACTCCATCATTCAATTGAAACATTTGAGATTTTCAATATGTAAAGTAGAGACTTCATCATTCAATTGAGATATTCAAGATTTTCAATATAAAGTAGACGATTGGGTCTCAGCATTCCATGATTTTACCATAATTGTCACCTCTCGACAAAATACTTTGTATAAAGAGAAATATTATAGTAATGTTGTCAAATTGTATCCTCAAAGTCAAGTGTATGGGTTGGAATTTTTGCAATGACGCATTGGGCATTTAATATTTCACCCATAAAGCAACAAAGATGTGTGTTTGTGTCAGATACGTTACATAAATAAATATACAATGTATAAATAAGTTTACCGTGTGTCTTTTCCGAGATCTCTTGTCCACAATCAAGGTACCATGACGATCTGGGAAGTGTTTTAAAACTACACCATCTTTGACATCTGATCCATTTTCATTGTATTTAACATGGGTGCCAATGGACAACACCTGAAGAAAAAAAGAAAGAGGATATTATTTATATTAAACATATATTTAACTTTGAATGGATTTAACATTTGAGTTTCAGCAATGTTAGCAATTTTTTTATAATTTTTAATAACATGGAATGAGGCATCAAAACATAACAGACCACACATTTCATTGGCCAAACCACAAACAATTCAAGATACACAAGTCTCTTTTGTGTAAAGTATGACTGTATTTTCCATATGATATTGCACTGTGGTCCTTTAATTGCTTATTTTTTTAGGTTTTATTGACAGAGAAAAAAAGTGAAATGGACTTTTGTTTTTTATAAAATTCATTCAAATATACAAGTTAATTAAATCACGGTGTTATACCATGACGGTTACGCCACCTCTGAAAATGAGGTTGGACAGCTACGTTCACTGATTTATCCAATAAAATGGCCGCAATGGAAGAGAAAACTAAGGTTGGTACATTATTTTCTACTACTGTGTATCAATGAAAGGATGAACGATTTATGTAAGCGTTGCATTCGGTGATGCATTCAGTAATGTATATTTTGAACGTAGTCTTTACAAATTGATGCCCGGGGATAACATGAAATAAGAAAAAAACTGTCGAGTTTGAAATTCAAAACTACACAAAAATTTAGTAATTTGTTTATTTTTGTTGTTAGGGCATGGTCTACATTGCCTAAAAACATTGTGGTATATAGATGTAACCTACATACGAACATACAAAGCCAATTGAGCATTGGAAACCACGTAATATGTTCTACTTAAGCCATGATAATGTATTTTGAGTTTGCGGTAACGTAAAAAATTGATGGGCGGTTACGCGAACCTGATTCAAATATGAAACCCCGATTCATTGTTGTGAATTTTGTCATTTTCATCAGGTCTTGATCGTAGATCTTCTTTTGCCTCTTCATTGCTATCTTTTACACTTTCATCGGTTTCATATATAAAACAAGCGACAGTTTTTTTCCTTGCCTTATAGAGGCTGAAACAAGAGCGTCTCTTGCGAGTCCTGAAAACAAATATAGGAAATTCAATATTCCATTTCTTACCCATTATAACAATAACATGGATAGAGGCTATCAGATCTAGCAACTTGACTTGACAGATCTACATGCATGTAACCGTCCGCTTAATATCTTATGTTCAACTAATACAATATGTTACCGTCCATAGAATTCGATAGAAGTCATACATAGTCGTCTAATGACATTGCATTTGAAACCTTATTATTTACGATATACACCATGTTTCTGTTCTGGATTTGTCATTTTATGCCTTGTTTATACACAGTTTACTTACAGTTTATATTTTGAGTGGCTCTGAGGCATATGTACTGAGAAAACACGAGAATGGACCAAAAATTATAAACTTGGATATCTCAGTCGGTAGGTTTATAGCTTATATTCTGTTTCTTGTAGACCACCTGGCAGATTTGACCCAGTCTTTATAACCATCCATATATACGTCACTGAATGGAACTAGTTTAAAAGGAAATCTTATCTGTGAATATTGCCTGCAGGCGAGAAAGAGGACATGCTGCCTTTCCCATCCGCCATTTTTTGTTATCGCTACCGCAAAATTTTGCAAATCGCCTTTAAGTACCCGTCATGCTATAACACCGTGTAAATGCCTACTTGAGTATCCATCTGACATTATTATTGCATAAGTCAATGAGCTAATAAATAACAAAACAAAACAAAACAAATAAGGTACAGTACTTTAAGCAGTGATCTCCCCGGCATTTAAGCAAATGGGCGCAGCACCCACCTGAGAGTTTGAAAATAGGCTTGCACCCACCTGAAAATCCATTTGCACCCACTTGAAAATGAGAAAAATCATGAAACATTGGCATATTTTGACCAATTTTGTTCTGAATTGTGAAAATCAAAATTTTGCACCTACTTGAGAAAAAATTCTGGAGAGATCACTGTTAAGAATACAACTTAGGTATAAAACCTGTAAAGTGGAACACCTCCATATTAAAGTAGCCTAGAACATATTTCAATAACTTTATTCTTCATGCAAAATTAACATCTCTAAGTGAAATATTCTCATGCACGAAAGTTTTACTGTATGTACTTAAATGATGATTTATTTGAGTATTTTCAATAATGAGGCTAGCTCAGTATGACCCAGACATAGAAGAGATCCCAATAACAGTGAAGTGGGCTTACAAGTTGAACAACCTCTTTGGATCTGAAAAAATCATAACATGACACCATGACACTCAGTTAAAGCACCATCTTAAGCTAGAAACACAAGAGTATCAGGAAACCCAAATGAACAAAACAAGAGTTGTCTTATCAAAAGAGAGCTTTCGATATAAGCTATTTGGTAAACTTTAATGTAAACTTGTACTTGTACATAAAAATACATGGTGTTACATAACGAGGGGTACTAGTTGAAAATCTCTGGATGTCGGATGTAATATAACGTTCAAGTGCAAACCATATGTAACTTTTAAAATGTATTTATTATCACATGTGTGAGATGTCTTGATCTAAAATGAAATAGGAATTCCTATATGATATATACATGATAGGCTTATCTTATCTTAAATCGACTTTGGAGATGAACATTATGAAACACCCTGTACAAATACTGGAGAGAGTTTGTTATGCAACCAAATGCCTCGTTCCAGGAATTGCTAGCACAGATTGGTATGATTAGTGTATCAAATTGGTAGTCGAAGTGTTTGATTTGATACTTTTACATATTCAATCTATTGATTTTAAATAGGGGTCACAGCTTATTCGTAGACATACAATGTGTCTGTTACGGTTTATGTGTAGAACCAATTTATAAGTTAACCATCATCGTGTATATGCCTTTTTATACGTTCTAAACTTATATCTCAACTTTAACTTTAATAAGAACTGATTCAGATATAATTCACCCGTTCATTTGATGAACCACATTAAAGGGTCTTGTTTGTAAAACACCACGCCTCAAGCATTGTTAATATACAGATTACAATGATATGTGCGACTGATATTACATTCACAGTCACTGATTGATGTAGGAGATTTACTACAGGGAAACAATTTATGTCAACTGGGTACAATTCATGAAAATCAATTTCAAATTGATTTAGCGTGACAAGACCCTTTAAAATACAAGTTTACATATACGTTTTCGAAACAACTTTTGTCGAAAGCTTTAGAATATAGGGTACAGTGTTTCTAATAGTATAATATCGTCATTACAAAGGGCAATATTAAACAAATACTGGATGATCAGGAGCTGGATATGGCAGAATACCTATTCGAGAAAAAATATTCGGCGAGGCGGCAGCCGAGCCCAATATTTTTTCGAGGATAGGTATTCTGGCCATATCCAGCTCCTGATCATCCAGTATTTGTTTTATTATGCACCTCCCAATCAAAGTTAAGTGGAGTACTTACTGGAGTACAGGCTTAAACTGTCGTTTAGTTGACATTATTTTGACATTTATTTATTTTTTCTTTCAAAACTCAGACGACTTCCGGCCAGTTTATTCGCTACACTGGACAAAAATATTTGCCCCGGGAATTTAATTTTTATTTATTCGAGACGTTCTTGCAGAATTATATGTAACTTTTGAATGATAAGGGTAATTGTGATTGATTAAGTGCATTTTTTTCTTCTATTTTCCGCCAGTTTCAGATGTAAGCTTTAAGTAGTACTCCAGTTATTAAGAAATAAAACTCTGAAGTGGGAATGTTGCAAAAACATTGAAAAAATATCCGACCCTTTTTCTCGAAAGGGTCAGATATTAAAAAAATATCCGTCAGTTTTCAGAAAAGAGCAGAGTATTGCCAAATTACAAGCAACTAAGAACCAATCAGATTTGAGTATTTTAATGAGGTGCATAATAAAGTGAAATATTGGACCGAGGGCTAAAGGCACTAGCACTAATACTCCTAGAACAGGTTGACAAGGTGGTAATAATATCAATTCTGAATATTTCATGAATGAATAACAGAAGACAGGTTAAAATGAAGGCATACTTTGGATGGTTAGTTTGATTTTTAGATGCATGCTAAATGCAATCCTTTGATTTGAATATGCATGATAACCATACAGAATTCCAGATTTCTAAACCTAGATCTCTCATTCCTCCTTTTCGGATAACTTTTTAACTAAAATACTTTGCACACAAGGTACACAGCTATTTTGAAAATAAAATTCTTTGTATACAAGGCATATGAACAAGTGGGACCTACATATAATTGAGTTATAATGGATGAATAGATAGACTGAAGGAGGGCTTCAAAATATCAAAACTAAACTTTAACCAAAATAACAAATGTGCCTGCAACCCAAAAAAACAAAAAAAAACAGATATCCAGGAATCAAACCCAATTCATTTGGCTCTGTAGGATTTGTCCAAATGTGGTTCTGATCATGTGTTCCTACTTTATAAGAAAGGCACCTAAAAATTAATTCCAGCTAAGGACAGCATGAGGATTAGTGAAACCACCATGTACACTGCTTCTTGAGGAAAAGTGGGAATAGAAAAGCCATACTACTAAACTAATGTGAAAAGCAGCGAAACAAAGTAACACTAAATGTTTTTCAAAAAGGAGTGGAAAACAAAGTTGCTCCGCAGAATGCACATACAGGTTGCTATGGCCACCATACAAGAAATATTTTTATGTTAAATAATGAGAGTAATCTAGCAAAATGGAGCTTATATCTTAATTTGTGAATTTCATATTGTTTCCTTACAAATAAACATTTTAGAGCATAATTATCATTGCTTATGGGACACCCTGTAAGTAGATATATATAATATATGAGTTTACAATCCAGACAAAAAAGATAAAGGGACAGACAGACAGTCGATCAATTGATTTGCATAAACATCAGGTATACAAAAATACATAACTTTAAAATAATATCTTAATGATAATATATCAAAACTTGTACACAGCATCAAGAAATATAAAAATGAGAGATATTTTGTACATTTTAATCAAATTACATATTTATGCTTAAAAAAAAAAAAATTTGTGGGGCCGGATATTGCAGAATATTTCAAGTATTCTCTCTTTTATAAAGTAAATGTAGCTCAACTTTAAAGCTCAACTTTAAATTGTCTTGATAAGCAACATAAGAAGCACCAAGCAACATTTATGAAGTGAGTATCAAATTAAGAATTATCAAAGGGAGATGAACTTGATTACAAGGTGAGGAATCTTTATTGAAATATTCACACAGAGGGATAGCTTATACATGGTTGCTCATAAATATGGAATATTAGGCATTTCATAAAAATCAGTATATTGTCAGTTAAAAAATTGAATTGCATGAACGTATGAAAGTATTCATTCACCTAATTTATCAACATATACAGGGTGTCCCATAATTAATGATAATTTTGCTCTAAATTCTTTTTTGAAAAGGAATTCGCACAAATTAAAGGTAAGGATGTAAGCTTCATTTTGCTATATCATATTTATCACTAAACACAACAATATTATATCTATGGTTGCCATAGTAACCTATATGCACGTTCTGCGGAGCAGTTTCACAGGTCACCACATAATTAATTTTTAAAATTAATTTAGAAAAGTAGCCATTCTGCATCGTGGTAAGCCAGGTCCTCTCCTTCTTTATCCGATATGCAACAGATAGAGATGCTATGAGTATCAGAATGGCCATTCTGGGATATTGTTTGAAGCTCATTGTTATGATGATTGTACGGTGTTGCATGATTCTATATTGCTTTTATATTACTTAATAATATTTTATATATTATTGTGGAAGGATTATGATTTGGTCTGATATTATGACATCATATGATATATTTTGAAACATGATCTTCAAAATGCATTTACCAAAAAGCAGTCTTTCGGGAATGCAATCATCCACTTGTATAATGCACTTATCCAAGTCCAAGTCTACGTAAGCCCAAGAAGGTCCTTCATAAGTTGGAGGAACTTTCTATGGAGGCCTTCTTTGGTACTCCCTATTCACCAGATGAAGCGTCAACTGTTTTGAGATAATGATGATTTCAGTGTGGATGAATTGACTTAACATGAATGGTTCTAAGCCATAGAAAACTGATATGATTGGATAAAAATGATAAAAAGGGGGAAAAAGAAACTAGAGAGAAAGTGTTAATGTTGTCAACCAGGCAGCAGTCATGATGCACCTTCAAGTTCAATGAGAAAAATAAAACTTTCAAAAATCGTTTAAAGGAAATTTTAAAAAATGATAAAAAAGTTCATAAAAATTTTTGAGTCCATAGGGTGACTTCAAGAGCAAAACATCAAGTTAGGTCATGGAATATCCCTCAGTACAAGTAGAGAAGTCACAAAGCTCCAAATAGAACAGCATATGGGCCTCACAACGATGAAACTCCTGAAAGAGGCAGTTAGTGCTAACATCCCTGATATCATACAGATACAAATACAGACTTAAACATTGGGATACACTTCATTGAGTTAACATGGGGATATCATCATGGGATAAATAAAAAATCCTCATTATCTCAGAAGAACTCAGGTTGATCGAGTCTCAACAATGTTGGACCTTTCCATGTTTTTGTTTGGTACTAATAAATGAGAAGGTAGATCAATTTTATAATAAACTTTCCATCCTCTATTATAGTTAAAGACAAATATGGATCAAACTGCCCTTGAGAAACTAGCTATAAGCAACCATGAAGAGTATAACAGATGTTGGAACGATCCAAATAAAGACTGGGAGAAGTATATGGATACCTACTATACTGATGACACAACAATATATCCACCACGTAACCCACCTATTACTGTGAAAAAGGGTAAAATATCTCTTCATTCTCTCACAGGTGTTTCATTAGAATATCTGACAGGCAAAACAAATGAAAGCAATAGGAAATTATTAGGAACTAGAAAAACAGCTCCACTGAGTCGCTAATCCCACCGAACAAAACATATTTTGATAGTGTCCATCTGAAAATTTCTCCTTAAAGCTCCTTTTAGTCTCTAGGTATCAGCATATAAAATTTGAACTAAATCCATCCACTGGTATTTGAGTTATCAAAGTTTTTTTTTCGAAAAATGGAGGCCATTTTGAAATTCAGAGACCATCTTGAAAATTTCTTCTAGAGCAGAGCTCCTTTGTCCCTATGCATCAGCACATAAAATAATTGGTATCGATATGGCGAACTGAACACATGTTTTTCTTAAACCAGTCATCAAAAAATTCTGAAAATTTTACACATCGCAGCACTTGCATTAGGTTAGAAAGTTTGTGAGTCCCAAGGACGCCATTTTTTTTAAAAAAGTGTGTCCTTTGAAAAAAAGTGTGTCCCCTATTTCTAGCCTGTTTTGAGGTCTAACTTTATTTTAAAAGCATTTTTTACCAAAACACCTTTCAGTTTTTGATTTTTTGCCGCGAATTTAAAACGGAAGTAAACGTTAAGTACGGACTGAAGAAATGCATGTTCGTTCATTCGACAATGAATACATTTTATTTCATGAATAACCTAATATTTGTTTCTGAATAGGAAAAACTGTGGCGTGTCATGGTTTCAAATCTAAAAATAAACAAAGTCGAAAAAATTCGAGAGAATCATGATTATTTGTAAATATTCAACATCTTGAGCCTTATTTACGATTCAAATAAAGGTGAGAGATCATAATTATTTGTTTTTGTTAGCTATCGTTGTAAACACATTGTAGTATTGACCTAAAAAAAGTTTGCGTCCAAAAAACGGAAATATTTTCAATTTTTGCGTCCTCCAAATTATTTTTGAGTCCTTAACATGTACGGGACGCCGTTAATGCAAGCCCTGCATCGTCAATTTAATGATCATCTTTTGAATGGTAACAATTTAATCTGAAAAAATATACCTTTCTCTATATTATATAGTTTTAGAAAACACATCAGACACTTCTTTTGCATGTTCTCAGTATCATATGTTTCGGAATGAAATGGAACATCTATCCAAACCTCATTGGAACAAAATGACATACACAACGAGTTTAGGTCTCTCAATATTGGAATTGTACATAGGAAAGTTTAAAAGCATCTTGTTAATGAAATAAAAGGTTTAGTTAAATTTTTTATCTATTTTGGGGGTTTTTGTTTTAATATTTTGAATACTTTTTGTTAAATGAACCAAACTTTCTTTTTCCAACAAGGTTCGGAAAGATATTTTATTTCATCCTCAAGAATTGGTAGAAAGGAACAAAAGACAATTGTACCACAAAATTGTTCACAAAATAATAATATAAAACATATATAATTAATTTTCACATTAAATTGTTGTGAATCAGGGACCATTACATAAAGGACACTGTTTTTCTACAGAATGTTTTCAATAATTGGTTTGAGAGAAAAACATTGTTGAATTCAGTTTGCCATATCAATACCGATCCTTTGAACCAAATCTCTCCATTGGTATTCTTGTTATCAAGGATTGTGTTTTTTACCTTTAAGTGGCAGCCATTTTGAAATTCAGCTGTCATCTTGAAAATTCCATCTTGAGCAGAGCTTGTTTGTCCCTATGACAACAACATATACAACTTGAACCATATCCATCCACTGGTATTTGAGATTTTTTGAAATTCAGAGGCCATCTTGAAAATGTCTTCTTTAGCAAAGCTCCCTTTTCCACGGGTAGTATCTAAAGCCCTGCTATGATTGAAAAGTCGCGAGCAAGTTCCCGCTGAAATCGCGAGCATAGTCCTGTTTATTTGTATCACTTTGGAAAATGAACCAAAAGGATGAAAATACTTATAACCGTTCTTTGATACTCCAGCAAAACTTTGAAAACAGATATATTTGACAAAAAATGACATGAAAAATGATTATTTTTTACTTGCATGAAGGAAAGGGGCGTCAACATGCACGTTTGCATAATTTACTGTTCATATATTACCTTTATCGTTAAAATAAAGGCAATAAATACGATTTACATACTCCATAATAAATATCGGATCAAGATGGTCTGTATTGATAAGTTACTGGACAATGACACCTGCCATGGGGGTCGAAATACATTATCAAAGGTGTTCCAGTGGCCCCGCTGAAAAAATGAGGAGGCCCCGCTGAAAATATGAGGAGACCCCGTTGAAAACACGAGCAAATTTCACGACTACCCGCTTCGATCACGAGGAAAGCTTCATCATTATTCCATGAATATTGTGAGCTTCTTTATATGAACGTACACGAATGTGCAAATAACGTATTAATGACAATCACATAACATATCATTCTATGGCAACATCAAAAATATTTCTTCTTCAACTTTAGGCAGTCTAATCTATCTGTCAGCGGCATGATCAAATTTTTATATGTAAATAGACTTTGTACATTTCGGAGTTAAATGTACACTCTACATAATTAACTATTCCAAGGATTATACTTCCGAGCGTTCATACGACCGATTGATCGTTCATGCGTGCATCGCCCAATCATGCGTTCGTGGCAGCGTTCGTCCGACTGTCCATTCGTTCGTTCGTGCGTGCATCGCCCAATCATGCGTTCGTGGCAGCGTTCGTCCGACCGTCCATTTGTTCGTTCGTGCGTGCATCCGTGCGTTTGTTTGCGCATGCGTTCGTCTGACCATCCATTTGTGCTTGCTTTCGTCTGACTGCCCTTCATCCGTGCGTGCTTTTGTTCAACCGTCCATTCATGCGTGCGTTCGTCTGTTCGTTCTTTTTGCGTTCGTTTGTGTGTTCGTTCGTGCGTGCGTTCATTCGGGCGTTCGTTTGTAACTACGTTCTTGCGTGCGTGGGTTCGATCTTTTGTAAATTGTTTTCTTCTATCTTTCCTTCATGCGTTCTTTTGGCCGCCTATCCGTCCGTTTATTCATTCATTGTTTTTTCGGCTGTTCTTCTGTCCATCCGTGCGTTCTTTCCTCGTTCGTTTGTTCGATTGCAGGTTTTTATCAAAATTGGTCTTTCCACTGCCATATGAAAGAATGTAAATAATCAAGAAAGCAAGCAAGGACGTGAGGAAGTAAACAAGCAACGAAGTAAGTAATTGAGTTAGCAAGCAAGTAAAGAAGGAATGGAGGAAGTAAATCGAAGAAGTGAAGGTGGGAGTAATATAAGTAAGCAAGGAAGGAAAAAGGAAGGAAGGAGGGAAGGAAAGAAGCAATGAAGCAATGAAGGAAGGCAGGAAGGAAGGAAGTAAGGAAACGAGAAAGTGAGGAGGGAAGAAAGTGAAGAAGCAAGCAAGGAAGCAACTGAGGAAGAAAGGAATGAAGGAACCGAGGGAGCACGGAAGGAACGATGCGAGTAAAGAATTAAGCAGGGAAGCTAGCTAGTAAGGAAGCGAGGAAGAAAGGAAGCCAGGAAGCAAAGAAGGAAGGAAACGAGGAAGCAAAGAAGGAAGGAAGCAAGCAAAGAAGGAAGGAAGCAAGCAAAGATGCAAGGAAAGGAAGGAAAAAAGCAAGGAAGTAAGTAAGGAAAGAAGGAAGAAGGCGAGAATGCAAGGAGGGAAGAAAGCAAGGAAGAAATGAAGCGAGAAAAGAAGGACACGAGAAAAGAATGAAGGAAACGAGGAAACAAGGAAGGAGGAAAGGAGGAAGTGAGGAAGGAAGCAAGGAAGGAAGGAGGGAAGTGAGGATGGAAGGAAGCGATGAAGCAAGGAAAGAAGGAAGCGAGGAAGCAAGGAAGGAGGAAAGATGGAAGCGAGGAAGCAAGAAAGGAATGGAGTGAGAAAGGAAGGACGCGAGGAAAAAAACGAAAGAAGCGAGGAAGCAAGGAATGAGGAAAGAAGGAAGCAAGGAAGAATGGAAGCAAGGAAGGAGGGAAGTGAGGAAGGAAGGAAGCGAGGAAGCAAGGAAAGAAGGAAGCGAGGAAGCAAGGAAGAAAGCGAGGAAGCAAGGAAGGAAGCGAGGAAGCATGGAAGGAGGGAATGAAGCAAGGAAGGAAGGAAGGAAGTGAGGAAGAAATTTGTGAAGGAAGCGAGGAAGCAAAGAAGGGGGAAAGAAGGGAGCGAGGAAGGAAAAAGCAAGGAAGGAAAGAGGGAAACGAGGAAAGAAGAAAGTGGGGAAGCAAGGAAGGAATGAAGTGAGAAAGGAAGGAAGCGAGGAAGCAAGGTAGGAAGTGAGGAAGGAAAGATTGCGAAGAAGGAAGGACGCAAGGAAGCAAAGAACGAAGGAAGCAAGGAAACGAGAAAGCGAGGAGGGAAGAAAGTGAGGAAGCAAGGAAGGAATTGAGGAAGAAAAAAAGGACGGAAGCGAGGGAACAAGGAAGGAACGATGCAAGGAAGCAAGGAAGGAAGGAACTGAGGAAGCAAGGAAGGAAGCAAGGAAGGGAACGAGGAAGAAAGGAAGCCAGGAAGCAAAGAAGGAAGGAAACGATGAATCAAGGAAGGAAGGAAGCAAGCATAGACGCAAGAAAGGAAGGAAGGAAGCAAGCATAGACGCAAGAAAGGAAGGAAAAAAGCAAGGAAGAAGGCGAGAAAGCAAGGAGGGAAGGAAGCAAGGAAGGAATGAAGCGACAAAAGAACAACGAGAGGAAAAAATGAAGGAAACGAGGAAGCAAGGAAGGAGGAAAGAAGGAAGTGAGGAAGGGAGGAAGCAAGGAAGGGAAGATGCAAGTGAGGAAGGAAGGAATCGAGGAAGCAAGGAAACAAGAAAGCGAGGAAGCAAGGAAGGAGGAGAGAAGGAAGCGAGGGAGGAAGCGAGGAAGCAAGGAAGGAATGAAGCAAAAAAGGAAGGACACGAGGAAAAAACGAAGGAATCGAGGATGCAAGGAAGGAGGAAAAAAGGAAGCGAGGAAGGAAGGAAGGAATGAAGCAAAAAAGGAAGGACGCGAGGAAAAAACGAAGGAATCAAGAATGCAATGAAGGAGGAAAAAAGGAAGCGAGGAAGGAAGGAAGCAAGGAATGAAGGAGGGAAGTGAGGAAGGAAGGAAGCGAGGAAGGAAGGAAAGAAGGAAGCGAGGAAGCAAGGAAGAAAGCAAGCGAGGAAGCATGGAAGGAAGGAATGCGAGGAAGGAAGGAGGAAAGGAAGTGAGGAAGAAATTTATGAAGAAAGCGAGGAAATAAAGAAGGAGGAAAGAAGGGAGCGAGGAAGGAAAAAGCATGGAAGGAAAGAGGGAAGCGAGGAAGGAAGGAAGCGAGAAAGCAATGAAGGAGGGAAGCGAGGAAGCAAGGTAGGAAGGAAGCGAGGAAGGAAAGATGCGAGGAAGGAAAGATGCGAGGACGGAAGGAAGCGAGGAAGCAAGGAAGGAAGGAAGCAAGAAAAGAAGAGGCGAGGAAGGAAGGAAAGCGAGGAAGCAAGGAGGGAAGGAAGGAAGCGATGAAAAAGAGAGGCGAGGAAGCAAGGAAGGAATGAAGCGAGGAAGGAAGGAAGCGAGGAAGCAAGGTGGGAAGCAAGCGAGGAAGGAAAGATGCGAGGAAGGAAGGAAGCAAAGAAGGAAGGAAGCAAGAAAAGAAGAGGCGAGGAAGAAAGGAAGGTAGGAAGCGAGGAAGGAAAGAAGCAAGGAAGGAAGGAAGCGAGGAAGGAAAGAAGTGAGGAAGCAAGGAAAGAAGGAAAGAAGCAAGGAAGGGAGGAAGCAAGGAAACGAGGAAGCAAGGAAGGAAGGATGCGAGGAAGGAAGTAAGCGAGGAAGCAAGGAAGGAAGGAAGCAAGGAAGGAACGAAGCGAGGAAGGAAGAATGCAAGGAAACGAAGAAGGAAGGAAGTGAGGAAGCAAGGAAGGGAGGATGCAAGAAAGGAAGGAAGGGCGCAAGGATGGAAGGAAGGAAGCGAGGAAGGAAGGATGCAAGAATGCGAGGAAGCAAGGAAGGGAGGAAGGAAGGAAGCGAGGAAGGAAGCGAGGAGGGAAGCAAGGAAGGAAGCAAGAAAGAAAGGAGGGAAGTGAGAAAGGAAGGAAGCTAGGAAGGGAGGAAGCGAAGGAATGAAGTGAGGAAGCAAGGAAGGAATGAAGCAAGGAAGCAAAGAAGGAAGGAAGCGAGAAGGGAAGGAAGCAAGGATGGAAGGAAGCAAGGAAGGAAGGATGTGAGGAAGCGAGGAAGGAAGCGAGGAAGCAAGGAAGCGAAGAAGCAAGGAAGGGAAGAAGCGAGCAAGCAAGTAAGCAACAGGAGATTGATATAGGAATAATATTCATAAACATTATTCTGACTAAACCATTTTAGGTTGACCTAAACGCACGCTTATTGGTGTATCTCACTGAATATTGACTTGTACTCAAAGATGGAACAGAGGGGACAGTTGCAATACAGAGAATACAGAATATTTCCTATGGACTATGTAGTAAGATCACACGATAAAAAACGTTATACAACGATTTGAAGCGCAACATAGGATACATTGTGCTCTCTATATGCTGTATTTCCACTTGATTTCATCTCGTGCCAATACAGATTTTTTAGAGCAAAATATATCCTATATTGCACTTCAAATCATTCAATAACTTATATTACTTCAAATTGTGAAAATGAGGTTAAATGTTTAAAATTTCGTCCGATCTAATACTCATCACATTTCTCAGATGATCTTTCTTATTCTGTAAAATGGCATGGAAATATGATACTGCAGTTTTCCATAACAACGTATCATAATATGAACTATATTAAACAGTTGTGTTTGCTGTTATTGAGAATTGTATTGACAAATAATGTATTCATCAAACTGGGTACAATAGTGGATCAAGGTGGGTACGAAAGTGGGAGATTTTCAGGGTATAATCGGGATTCACTCCATTTTTGAGAGACACTTGCTCCTGTTTTCAGCGGGACCTCCTCATGTTTTCAGCGGGGCCTCCTCCTGATTTCAGCGGGATCTTTGCTTAATTGCTCCTGCTAGAAGCGGGGCCTTGAGGGATATGATAAAATTTAAATATAAAATGTTCTGTAAAGCTTTAGGAAGTGAAACTCGGTTCATCTTTATTTCATATCACTATCGTTATTTCAACCACAGGACAACATCGTTCTTCACCAATAACGTATAGAAATATATAGATAAAGATTCAAAATGATACTTTCTCTCTTCAATTGACAAATAACGAACCACAGAACGACCGCTCGTGATACATTTTTTTCTGCAGTTGCTTTTTTAGTCTCAATACCATGTAATCATTGGAAAAATTAGAAGAAAACGTTTTGTAAATCATACAATTCAAGAACACAAAAAAGAACCCATGACTTCTTTTTATTCCTCGCGATTTCAGCGGGAACTTGCTCGCGACTTTTAAATCATAGCGGGGCTTTAGATACTACCCGTGCTTTTCCTTAGCTCAACATTTAATATTTGAACCGAATCTGTGAATTGGTACTTGAATTATCAAAGATGACATTTTTTATGAAAAATGTTGGCCATTTTGAAATTATGCAGCCATTTGAAAGTTGTACCTAGGCATCAGCATATAAAATCTATATTTTATAAATAATGATTATCTCTATACTTTAGGCTCAAACCTGTAGACTAATTAGATTATTTATAGATATCTTTGAGTTTCTGAGGAAAAACTTCCCTAAAATGAAAATCCAGATGAGCCTTAGAGAAGCGCGAAGTCTCGGAGAAGAATCTTATTTGGGCATATTCAATATTGTTTTAACAATTGATGGCAAAGAAGTGGACAGATTCATGTAAGTCATTTGCAAATTGGTTAAAAACTCAACTCAGAATAATGGTTTAATACTGAACTGTATGTATTTAAAAAACACGAAAGCATGAAAAAACTCCCCCAATTTGTTCTATATAAAACTTTGAAATTTGAAATTGTTATCATCCAAGAAATTTTACTACAGATATAGTAAATGTCACACATTCTTATTTAATATTTTTATGTGCTTTCTGTATTTTCAGAATTTATGAAGTATGGTCCAAACAGACAGGATCCTGGAAATTTTCCTCATACATTTGGAACATCATTAATGCTACAGTTGACTATCAATAAATGATATTTGAAACAAAGCTTACTATAAAGAACATATACTCTTAAAATTTACTGAAACCTTTATTCTATATTCAGACATAGCTAGGCAAGGTGTGTCTGATTCCAGCCAATCTGAACACAGTATTTCACATATAGAACAGTGTGTGAAATAATCAATAACACACTTAAGGTCACTAGTTAAACAGTTGTCATGGTGATGAATGGACTTTTCTCACTGGATTTGATGACTTGCCAATTTGAAATAGTGCATTAAGAACAATTCCCAAAAATTAATGATCTGGATGATATCTGATGTTGTGTTTATTTTATGTTATTTTGTATTTGTATTTTGTTTACCACCAATGAAGATGAGCAATACCTCTTGGGCACGGTTATGGGAAGTCCTCCATATATTACTATTATATTATTTCTCAGGTTACGCAGCTTCCATCCAAAATAAAAAATATGTATTTTTAAAATAAATTATTTGTCTAGTTTTCGTTAAACAAATATCCTGAGACACATAAGGCCTGTAGAAAACACTAAACAGAAAAATAAAAAAAATATTCATACCTCCAAATCTGCTTTATTGGTCAGATAATGCACCAAATCATAATGGTTGTTCAAAATAAAAATTTAAGGGGACGGAGCGCCTTATCTCGCGAGAATAAAGCAAATCACGCAAAGGCGCGTGATTTTTTCGACCAATCAAATAGCTTGAAATTTACCAAACCATTTTGTCCAGTGTTTCACAACCCATGATACATGCGCAGTAGAAATTGTTAATTTACTGAACAGACCTTTCAATGGCCTGGAGAAATTTTACTCACGAGAATTGATGATTACTGAACACATATAGGCATAAGAGGTGAGCGACCCAGTTATTTTTGCGTATAAATGTTTCAAGAATAGCATGATATCAAATAATCTGTACATTATGCTACGATTCATTCAAAAATTGAATCTAGAGGACAGGTGACCATATTTTTTCATATTTTTTAAATTTTCAGTAGCATTACCTGGTGTATATACCTCCTAGATGGAGGACTTCCCACTATCCGTGCTCTTGGGTATATCCCGTATATGTATGGTCATAATTTACATAATTAATTATGGGGGTGTTCCTCTTTATAGGTTTTATACTTAAGTTACATTCTTTAGATACTTTTTATCTTGTTTTGTTATTTATTACATATGCAGCTCAAGAAGGTCATGAAGGTCATATCTTTTTTGACCTTGAGGAAAAATAATGAATTTATCTAAAACCAACTTTTAGAGGTCACAAATATACTTAAATAAGCGACAATTCATACCAACCTATGGCATTCATCTTCACATGTTTTTTGAAGAAAAAAATAAGAAAATTGGTTCATTAATAAGACAAAAATGAACTTGATATGCTAAAACATTCAATCTTTGAATTGGTGTTAAAAAGATAATGAGTCTTGCACTGTATAGATGAATATTTAATGAAATAACATTTCAATTTTTATTTAAAAAACTGCAGGAAATTTTAATATTTGAGAAAAGAAAAGCTGACAACTTTTGTTTCAAAATATTTTTTTTGAAAAAAAAACAATTTTTTTTTTTCAAACGTTCATGTGGCGTTTAAGTAAAACTTGAAATGGACTTGAGATGCTTTTTTATAAAATTCATTCAAATAAACAAGTAAATTAAATGCCTACTTGAGTACCCTTCATCTGATATTATTGCATAAGTCAATGAGCTAATAAATAACAAAACAAGATAAAAAGTATCTTAAGAATGTAACTTAAGTATAAAACCTATAAAGAGGAACACCCCCATATAAAGTAGAACATATTTCAACAACCTTTTCCTTATACAAAATTAAAATCTCTTAGTGATATATTCTCATGTATGAAAGGTGTTAAGTTTTACTGTGTGTACTTAACTGATGATTTATTTGTGTATTTTCAAAAATAACACCAGCTCAGTATTACCCCCAGGGGTATGACCCAGACATAGAAGAGATCACCATGACTGTGAAGTGGCCTTACAAACTTTAACCAGAACAACGGCAACGCCAAAGCGTAGCGAATCCCATCGAACAGAAATGGCTGGCATTTTTACAAACGAATAGCAAATATCATAAAACAACACACATAAGAAAGGCCACTATTTTCAAAATGGTTGCTCACTAGCCAAGTTGCCATCAGAAGAAATAATATGCTTTTCAGTAGCCACCTCTAAAATTTTTGAAAAATCGCACACGTACTTGTAAAATAACACACATAAAAATGGTGGCCATTTTTCAAAATGGCCGACTACTCCCCAAAGTTTTATTAGAAAATGTGCCATTCTTAAAGTATTCACATATCAAATTTGAACAAAATCGCTCCACTACTTTTTGAGTTATAGTAAAATACGTTAAAATGGCGGTCATTTTTCAAAATGTTTTTCAAAATGGCCGCCTTCTACCAAAAGTGTCATAGGACAGTGTGCCATGCTTATAGTATTCACATACCAAATATGAACAAAATCGCTCCACTACTTTTCGAGTTATAGTAAAACATGTTAAAATGGCGGCCATTTTTCAATTTTTACCAAAAGTGTCATAAGGCAGTGTGCCGTGCTTATAGTATTCACATACCAAATATGAACAAAATCGCTCCACTATTTTTTGAGTTATAGCAAAAATTGTAAAATGACGAGTAAAGGCCACCATTTTTCAAGATGGCTGCCATGTGCTTCTTTAATATCTACATTTGTAGCATTATTAATGTCCTTTATAATTTTTTTACATTTAAAACATATTGCTATAACAGTTTTACATATTGCACCTAAATTACTGTAAAATCGGCACTAAAATGGCCGCCATTTTGAAATGAGTGGCCATTTTGAAAATCGGCTTTCGAGCAAAACTTCTACCTCCATAAGGTATATGTGTACAAAATATGAACAAAATCGGGCCAACGGTATTTGAGTTATTGCCCGGACGGATGGACGGACAGACGGACGGACGGACGTACGGACAGACGGACGTATGTACGGACGGATGGACGGAGGCGTTCCCTATATCCCTCCGAACTTCGTTTCGATGGGATAACAACCTCTTTGAATCCGACAAAATCATAACATAACATCATGACACAGATAGGGCACATTTTTAATAATAGGGCCAACTAGAAATGACACTGATAGGGGACATTTTTAATAATAGGGCCAATTAGAAATGACACTGATAGGGGACATTTTTGATAATAGGGCCATCTAGAAATGGCAAAGAAACCTAATGAACAAAAAAGATTTGCCTAATCATAGGGTACAGCATTTCCGATATAAATTCTGAATATTTCATGAATGAAACTAGAAAAACAGCAACTCCACGGAGTAGCAAATCCCACCGAACAAAACATGTTTTGATAAAAAAATTGAGCCAAATTCATCCACTGGTATTTGAATTATCAAAGATTATGTCTTTATGAAACATGGTTGCCATTTTGAAATTCAGCTGTCATCTTTAGATTTCTTCTTTAGCAGAGAATGTCCGTCCAATGGTATCTGGGTTATCAAAGATTACTTTTTTTAATGAAAAATGGCAGCCATTTTGAAATTCAGCTATAGCCTTTGAAATTTCTTCAGAAGCAGATCTCCTTTTTCCCTAAACATCAGCATATAAAATTGGAACCAAATCCATCCACTAGTATTTGAGTTATCATTAATTACGTTTTTTACGAAAAATGGCGGCCATTTTGAAATTCAGTAGCCATCTTGAAAATTTATTTTTGAGCAGAACTTCTTTGTCTCTAGGCATCAGCATATAGAATTTGAACCAAATTCGTCAACTGGTATTTGAGTTATCAAAGGTTACGTTCTTTTATGTAAAATTTGAACCAAATCCATTCAATGGTAATTGAGTTATCAAAGATAATGTTTTTTTTATGAAAAATGGCCACCATTTTGAAATTAAGCTGCCATCTTGAAAATCCTTTCTTGAGCAGAGCTCCTATGTCCCCAGGCATCAGCATCTAAAATTTAAACCAAATCCATTCAATGGTATTTGAGTTATCAAAGATAACGTTTTTTTACAAAAAATGGCTGCCATTTTGAAATTTAGCTGCCATCTTGAAAATCCTTTCTCGAGCAGAGCTCCAATGTCCATAGGTATCAGCATCTAAAATTTGAACCAAATCCATTCAATGGTTTTTGAGTTATCAAAGATAACGTTTTTTTATGAAAAATGGCCGTCATTTTGAAATTTGGTGGCCATCTTGAAAATGACTTCTTGAGCAAAGCTCCTTTGTACCAAGGCAACAGCATATAAAATTTGATCCAAATCCATCCACTAGTATTTGAGTTATTGAGTCATTAAAGATTATATTTTTTCCGAAAAATGGCCGCCATTTTTAATTAAGTGGCCATATTTAAAATTCTTTCTCGAGCAGAGGTCCTACACCCATAAGGCATAAGCCTATAAAATTTGAATGAAATCCGTCAACCGGTATTTGAGTTATTGCCCCGACACACGAACGGACGGACGAACGGATGGACGGACGGACGGCTTTTCTATATCCCCCTCGAACTTCGTTCAGTGGGATAATGACAGAAGCTTTTAGTAGACAGGTTATTGTGAAGGCATACTTGGGATAAATCTCAAAAAGCCTATTAATTAGGTAGTTATTTTGATTTTCAGATGCATGCTATATTTGCAATCCTTTAATTTGAATATGCATGATAACGACATACAGAATTCAAGATTTCTTAACCTAAATCTCTCAATTCTCCTTTTGGATAACTTTTTAAACTAAAATACTACACAAGGTACACATCTATTTTGAAAATAAAATACCATTCCTTGAAAATATGAACAAGTGTGACCTACACATAACTGCATTATAATGGATGGATAGACAGACTGAAGGAGGACTTCAAATTATCGAAACTAAACTTCATTTTTGGAATAATAAAGACATCTGGGACAACAAATGCCTTGGTATGGTTGAAATGTTTAACTCCTACTAACTGACACTTCATATGAACCCCTTGATTCAAACCAACAATATCATCACATCATGTTTTCTCAGACAGAAATACTAAATTGTATGTCATTGTTGTCTTGTGTTAATTTGACCTGAAGGATAACTTGTTATTGTTTATATTATATGTAACTTATGGTAAAGTAACCTTTAAGCCAAC